GGAAAATTATCCTTTATTTAAGAGAACTATTACTCGATTTTTCCATTCAGAAAAGCTCCCACAAATTTTGGGTGCTGAATCCACTGATCGACTCTACCGTAGCGATGGCGTTTGTGGTCTCTGAACACTATGGCCGTCTCACCAGCTGTTCCTCAACGCCTCTACTTTGGCTATCCCCAACTCCATGAAAGGAATGGACGTCCGATAATCTCCGATACCGTGCAACCCCCTCCCCCCTTCTTGACGGTCAAAAATCTACCGTCAGCTGTTTTTTTCTCCTGAGCCCTCCAAACCATAAAAACCACCATCAACTATATTTTTATCCCTTTACCTCAGGAGTTCATTTCACTGCTGGTCGGATTTGTGTTTAATCACTCTCCTTGACAGTGTCTGTAAACAGGCATCTAATAAATTATTATTATTATTAAAGCTTCTTGTAAGGATTATTTTCAATGAAATTCTTGACTTCTGTCTAGCTAATCGTCTTCTGAGCTCTAGTCAGCATGGATTTTTAGCTGAACGATCCTGCGAAACATGTCACTTGGCTTTTCTTAATCTTATCACTTCTCTTCGTAATGTGCGGCAGTCAGTGGTAGTTATCTACTTTGATCATAGCAATGCCTTTGACAAGGTGACCCATAGACGTCTTTTGGTAAAATTGGAAGCTCTCGGCCTCCAACCGATATCAGAAGGTCATTGTCGGTAATAGCTACTCGACACCTCACTGGATCACGAGCGGCGTACCTCAAGGCACGGTTCTGGGTCTGCTACTCTTCCTTCTGTACATCAATAATATTTCGACTGAACTCGGAAATTCGCAAACTTTTACTTATGCCGATGACGTCAAGTGTGTTTACTCATACTCTAAGGACACCGCAAACGTTTGCGTTGAAAAAATTAATGCCGATTTACTACGCTTAAGCAGATGGGATTCGACATGGCAGATGGAGTTTTCATCATCCAAGTGTAGTTTTTTGTCCTTTGGTCCTGCCAAACTTCCCAGTGCCATGATTTTTCAGAATAACCCACTCTCAGGATGCCTCACCATAAAGGACCTAGGTCTAAGTTATACAAATAAGCTGGCTTTATCGCCTAAAACAGATACAGTCGGTGTGTTAACTCATGAAATGTCATGAATTAACACAGGTAAGCGACTGTAACACAGAATCGGTAAACACTATGACTCCCAAAGTCTGATAGCGGGAAATAAATGATGTGTCATAGAAACGAAGCAAAGTTTGGTTTAGAAAATATTATTTACTGAGATAAAAATAAATAATTTTCGACAGAAGTCACATTATCGAGAAACGCCTATATTACAACCAAGTTAATAAAGCCTACGTATGAGGGCGTATAAAGGAGGAGGGCGAATCAAAGTGCAAAAATAATTAAGGACAGAAACAGATACAAAAAATCGGTACTTTGTTGATTGTTCATTTGAATTAATTTCGGCAGAAAGTCTGTCAGACATAGAAATGACGAGGTTGACTCTAGCGGATTGGAAAATGTAATTATTGAGTATGAAATCCAATTTGTCCTGCATTGAAAGAGTCTTCTTAACTTTGTGCCAATTTCTTTTGACTATTCCAAAAAGATTTTCGATAGGATTCAAATCAGGACTGTTGGCCAGGATAAAAATGCATTGGAGGCCAAGTACTGAGAGGGTGGTTGTTGTCTAAAATGTCAGATTATATTTGCAAGCGGCATCAATTTCGTACCTCTTTAGAGCGGTGGACAGGTGCATTGTCGTGCAAAATTACAGTATCCATTCGGCGCCGACTTATGCCGTTGTAGCCGAAAGCATCCTTGACAATTGCGATAAACACCTTGCTGTTGATGGTGTCGGATGCTGACCCCAGACAGGCCGCTCCTCGCAGGCAGATAGAATCTCTGCCAAAGCCGCGCAGATATGCGGATTCATATCGCATAATTTTTTCCTTCCGGAAATGAAGCTAAGACTTTATCAAATGTTTGTTCTTCCAGTCCTCGAATACTGCTGTCCTTTCTTCGGTTTAATGAGCGCCTGCGACCGTAATAAAATCGAAAATGTTCAGAGTGTTTTCGCTCGGAAACTATTCTCTCAAGCTTTGTCCGGTATTTCTTATACTCAGAGATGTCAGCTGGCGAACATGAAGTTTTTGTGGGTTAGAAGACTCGAAGCTGGCCTTTTCTTCCTTTTTAGCATCAACTCTAGCTCCAGTCTTCCGCTCATTGACACTCTCACTCCGAGAGATCGGTCTTATGCCACACGCAACTCCTGCATGGTGATTCCGCCGCCTCTTTTTACTACATCTAAGCGCTCCCTCTTCTTTGCTTCCAAATATGCCTTCCTTTGGAATAATCTTCCGCCTGAAATTAGATTATCGCCTAGGTTACTGGTATTCAAGTCGAAATTACGCAACCATCTTACACCGGAAAGCATAAAGGCACTGTTAACGGTCTCATTCTCGAACACTCAGATTCTTGACTTCGAGAAGGGTCGTCCTGGGACTTACTGGTAGATTAAGTGGTAACTCCTAATTATATCATTAGAAACCCCTGTTTTGAATTGGTTTCTAAATCCACTGCTATCACTCCTCCCCCATAGCGACAATTTTCGCGGTTTTTGATGTCATCTCCCACATTCCGACCTCATGCGATCTGTCGACGCCTAGGGCGGAACCCTCAGTATTCGCCGTCTACTAGTAGTTCGGTCGTACCTCCCTTCCCCACTTCTCGGCTGAACTTGAAGCGTGCTGTGGCCGATCCTCTGGCTGGCTTCTTTGACGCGAATAGTCTCATGCGGCGTATCAATCCGGCCCAGACGATGTCAATTGTGAATCCCATATACAATACCACATGCAGGCCAGTCCTGTCTGACCCGCATACGTACCCCTCAAGGCTGAGATTTATTGTTACCCTGACTAATCATGCTTCTCAATGGACTACTAATTCAGGAACTATGAATTGCATTTTAGATAGATAGGTAATTTTTATTAAAGACCCGTCGGGGTCCCATCAAAGCCTACCTCGTCTAAAATTCACATGTAAAGTTATTTAAAGTTGTCTTAATGGGACCTCGACGGGTCTTTAATAAAAATCATCTTATCTTACCTTACCTTATAAAGTTCTAAAAAGTAAATGGTTTATGAAGGTCGTTGTAATTAATCTCTGGATGAAGACAAGGCGCTCTCTTCGTATTCACGCGAGAAACCAGTTCTTCGAGATCTTGAACAATCATCCGGTAACTTGCAATGCATTTCTGCCAAGGCATACAGTATTTAAGTAACTGAATATGTCGAGTTATGATCTTACGTCATTGACTTCACCAACACGCTATAGTAAAGCATGAACGGATCTAAATTAGAAATTCCCTTTGGGGAATGCCAAAACTCCCTTGTTGCCCAAGAACATTGTGATATTTAAGGTTTAATGATGTTTTGTTCATTAATGGAAGAATCAAATTAAAGATCCTTTTAATCCTCTTCAGTGACCCATATTATTGTTTTACCACTCCAATTACTTACGATTTAATAAATGTCGCGCAGTTCGACTGTGGCGGTTTCCTGATGCTCCCTACCGGTCTTTAGTGCGAAAAATGTTTAAATGTGAAAAAGATACCGGTCGCCAAAGGGAGACACTTCCTGTCTTGTCCGGACTAAATTTTCCCAGCGATGATGCTGAGCCACACTCGTCGAAATGGATATACACTCACTGGGCCAAGTATATTCATTTTCTCTAATTTCGTCCGCGATTTCAATTTTTGTATTCCTGCTCTTGTGTCCTATGTATTCTTGTAAGAGTATTTGTTTTCAAACTGGGAAATTGACTTGTATGATGATCATCATTAGACGTTCATGTGTAGAAATTCTTTATAGCTATATCTATATATTGTTCAATCCATTTTGTATAGTTAATTTCATTATAGTTTTCTGCGTTCAGGAAAATGTAAATCTCAATTTAAAAATAATGTGCGTTGCATGGCAAGCAATTTATAAATGGCAACAATAGGTTTGATCTCTAAGGCTTTTTAAGTCATTTTGAAGGTAAAACTTTTATATCGTAAATCGAATTCGATGTGAAGCCCCCAGTCTTGGATAAGAGCCAGCTGAGAACACCTCCTTTTATTTTGGAATTACAGTTTCTGATAATTTTCTATCATGTTAAGCTTGGCATTATGAACGTGAAGTTGACACCAGTTCATCAGTCGATGTACATTTGGTTAGGCCTTGGTACACATCGACTGGGCGATGTTGACAAGCCAATGCTCGCGTCTGACGGATAGATCAGTAGCGCAACGTGAGTGCGCATGTTTTTTACAGCCATTGATAAGATTAATTCAGAGGCATGTCTGTCAGCCGCTCGCCCAATCCTAGTCTTCGATTGTCGGTCTTTACGAGCTTTTGATGAAGAACTTTGTGTCCTCGCGAGGACACAAAGCTCCTCATCTACGAGTAGATTCTGCCCACTTATTTAAATTTTATTTGCCCTGGAGGGCCCAAAAAGTTGGTGCGTGTAGCCACTTTCGTTGAGAGGATGTCCATGCCAGGTAGTATGAAGAGCATAAGTTTGGTTCTGTCTACCATTTATTTAGAATTTAACAATGTTATGGGTTGCATCAGGTCAAAGATATTTTTATAGGAAGAAGCTATTATTTGCACTGCTCTAGGAATCTAAGTGGGCTTATTTGTTGAAGATCTGTCGTTAAATCTCATCACGTTAGTGGTACATAGCTTGTCGCAAAACATCTGAAATATAGTCATTTAACTTTTGCTGCGTTTTCAGCGTCGTTTATTATGAACAGCCATAAAATCTTCTTTTAAATTTTGTAGTTATATTCTAAGATGACCCAAGCACTTCGTAAAGGTGCTGAGGACTTACAATGGAATTTTTTAAATTCAAAATCCACTAACATTAAGACATCACAAATCCGTCATCAAGCATCGGACAACGTCTTGTCCTAAATTGTACAGTGATTACCCAAATCTTCCTTCTCCATTGCTTCCACGGGAGTAACTATAAAAAACCCTCTGATTTTTAGCCTCTTGTACAAATGGTTAACAGAATTTTAAAGGTATGTCCTTTGACAACTTAAGACACAACGATGTATACGTAACTTGTTTTAGATAATATGTCGTAGAAATGTCTTGTCGTGTTTCAGCCATTACCAGCTGTCGAAGTGATTCTGTGCGCGCTTCCCAACTTTATCCCTTTGAAGGCTGCTTAAAATCCAGAATTGTTTTCATGTCAATTTTACTAGCTTCTTGAAGGCAAACTACCGTTAGATATGATTTCTCTGGCGGTCTTGCATACTTTTGCGCCACTTATGCTATGCTGTCTCTTAATTATTTAAAAAACGTAACATCATCGTGTCGCGAATTAAAACCCTTCCGACGAGACAACTCTAGCTTAGTAATCAGCATTTCCCGTGGTTTCATATTCGCATCTGCGTTTCTGTCAGAAATTTTAGCTTTGAATTTTACAATTCTTTTTGTTAACAGGGTTCTTTTGCGTTCGGCAGCCATGGTCAGTTTAGCTTCAGTGAGTGCCAACACCCCGAAAACTTTTGAATATGTTCCCTCATTGATGTACGTCACCTTTGCAGTCGATATTATGGTGGCTTGTCTGCTGACGGTGGAGATGGGTACAAAGATGTGCATACAGGGTCTGTTTGCCCCATCTGCAGGCCAGGTTAGTTTAATTTCGTTTTCTGAGGCAGCAGGATATCTGTTTAATGTCTCCTGGGGATTCAACTGGACATGAGATGTCCTTCGCATTGTAGTTGAGCATTTTATGACTTCCATTCTTTAAACTATTTGCGTGAAAGACTTATGATAAGTACTGTGTCAATTATCGAAAACCGTTTAAGGGGTATTCTGTTCGACGTACATAGTGGTCAGCTGCAATAATAAGTTTAAGTTATTTTAGTGATTTTAGTCGTTACCACTGAGAGTTCACTTAAGGTCTTTGCATGTGTTTACAAAATTGAAAAAAGCGTGTTTTAAGCCCCAGGGAAATTCACTTTTTTGTAGGAATATATTTGGTCTGGTGATTGTAAGCTCATGGGCATTTGATACAACAGAAATCCGCACAGTCTTATGATAGTTTTTGTGTATCATTGCGTCGTTGCTTTGATTTTGTTAACTCTTTTCCGTTTCAAAAAAGTTCCAAAAACATACTTTGCTTTATTTAACGTCTTGTCCACCTGGCTCGTATAATGATTTGTCGCTTGCTTAATGCAGGATTTAAATCAGCTTATCAAAAAGCAGATTGCGGCCAAGGTAAGGTAGTTTGCGTTTAGCTCGAGATCCCAAAACTGTCAGCGTCTGAAATGAATGTCCAGCCTGCGAGTATTTTTCATTTCCTTTGAGTTCTCAATATGTTCTTTTCTTTCTTTTCGTTAACATTTTATGTTCTTTTGGTGTGAACGTAGTTTTTTAGTTCCCTTAGTTTTCATTTTGCATATATATTATAACGGATCGCATACGTAGATCCTAACCCGAGTTCTGTGCATGTTGAAACCAAAGTAAGCATATTTCAACCCACTTTTACTTTGCTCGCGAAGAGCAATTAAAAACACTATACAGACATTTTTGGTGCAGGATGTAAAAGGAAAATTGAAACCTAGCTCGACGCGGATACAGTCATCCACCGTTAATTGTAAAGTGAAAATTGCTGGGACGATTTTTTCCCCACTTTTTTTATGTGCACCAAAACAGTATTGCATTCACCTGAGGTTAACAATGATGAGACCGATCAAAGAACGCTTTTTACACTAAATCTATATGCTGCCAATCTTAGTATACTTAGAACTAACTGCCATTAAATTCACAAAAATGTAAACGGAGATGTTGACTGTACATTTCAAATGATCCTCATGTTACAAACTTAAAACCGACATTACACATTAGTTTATACCTTTAACAACTTTTCCGGCGGTTTATTCTTGCTTAATCGATAGCTTACAGCATTAGAAACGAATTTAATCGTTCCCGGGACAAACATCTACGGCCTTCAGACAATCAGACTTTTGAAAGGAAAGAAACTATTGCACGATTTCAAGACTGGATGAACTCAGGATTTTAGTCTCCAGCCAATTTGGGCTTCTATACCGTTTATACCCAGAGAGACAATTACACGATTTCCTTTTCCTGGAATAAATCATATTTAGGTCTTGTTCAACGAAACATGGAGCCATAAAAGCAAATTGGGTGGTTGTTGATTGTGTATATATTCGAACTTTTCTAAGTTGAGCATCATTCTCCTGGCGCTTGGTGCAAGTTTCGAACTAGGTGCTGCGTTTTGCAGAGACTGAACTTATTTTTGGCCTTCATTTTGCATCCTAGTTTCTTTTATTGTTCGTATCTGGCGCTGGATTAAGACGCTAATCATGAATGGGCGATTTTCACCCGTGAATCGCCTCATATGCTGGACCCGTTATGCCATGTACACCTGAATCTATGCATCACTGGCACGTGACCTTTGCTGGACTTTTCATCTGCGTCAACAAGCGGTCACGGCGATCGCACGGAAGTTGTTATCCGCCATTCTGTTTTATGCTTATGCTTGTTCACTCAGGCCTTGCATGCATTTCATCGCTTTCGACTCTTGTACGCAAACAGAAGTGTCCGAGCTACTGAGACTTTATGATTTACAGTAATCACATGGATAACCTTTGTTATACTAAACATGGTTGGTCAACGTTACTCGGGCTGGAGGGTGGATATGAAATGTCCTAGCCAACGAATTTTTAAACCACCTTTCTGGTAGGGGACAACGTTCAGGACTGGTCGGCACTAGGGATAAATCGTTAATTTTCCTATGTATTTAAGGCCTTTTTAACCATCCACCCTTATCCACCCACTAAACAACAACGCAAAATATTACTGGAAATCTGCACTCGGACCAGACTTAACTGCTGTGCCACTGACCATATTAATTCCTCCTTTGCATTCATAACGAATGCGGTGATTTAAAGGAGACCATTAACGCTCAAATCGACGCAAGACCTGCCACGGGCAGTGTGTGGACCAAGGCACTGGGCTTGCAGCCGCTTGACACCCTGTCGAAAACGACGACTAACCGTTTTAGTTTAAAGGAGGTAGTACCGAAAAATTAATCTACTTATTTTAACTCCAGTTCTGAGATCTAACATCAGTCCCTGGGCGGAACACGCCTTTGGATTAAGTGATTTTCGTGTTTCCCAAACCAAGTATCCAATCACCCGAGTTAAGATATTTCAGGATTTTTGGGGCATTGACAACTCGGAGAGGTTACATGAGGCAGAAAAAATCTGGTTGGTTTTTCAACTTTGCCTGTTTCATTCAGCGAACTTTCCTAAAGTCAATGATTTGTAGTTGAAGAAGCATAATTTATCTGGTTGTCACGATGCATAATTCGGACTGCAAGCCGTTGCGTCTGAAGAACTTGAATTGGATCCAATAAGGTAAGCTTTTCGTATTTTGTTGTTCGGAGCAAAGCAGTTCTGGAGTTCTTAAATTTTGTCTCCCAGTTCTTCCCCCTTGCGTGATTTTTTGCTTAATAAAATCTCTAGGGGTAGATCCCCAAAATACCATCAGTCAACTCCTGTCTCATATTCACATAGTGTTCGCCAAACAGTACAGTGGAGCTCAGCATCACGTAGGAAATCCTGCATGACAAAAAAACGGAATTTTGAGAAAAGCCATTCACTAGTCCACTCGGACTGTCTTTGAGTTCTCAACAGCATGAATGTTCTTAGCAGTGCAGAAACTACTTTCACTGGCAGCACTCAATTGAATTTCAGTCCTTGGGTGTTGGCGTGGACACGAAGAGGAATAAGGCCTACTTCCAACAGTCGTGGAACTGCTTTGACGCCTCCATGGTCTTTTTCCTGTGGGCTTCTATCATTCTACAATGCTTTGAACTACGTGCTGCGTGGGAGTGCGGTCCGAAGGAGGAGACCTGCACAGAGGAGTTGCAATTCTGGCGACAGTACGGCTGGCTCAGTGTCCTCCGCTGCCCACGACCACTCATTCTCATTCGGGTTTTTCGTGCAGTCCTAAAGTTGCAATTGCCACCCGCCCGAGTAAATGCCATTTTTCAGTAAGTTTTGCGTAACGCTACTTGGACCCATCGCCAGTTTTAGATTATGACATTAAAGTGCGTCATTCAGGTGGCTTTCTAGGTCTGTTTCGGTCCACAAGTCGCTGGAAAACACCGATGTCCAGAAACAAGGCCGGAAAAATAATCGTACCTTCTCTGATATTGCCACTCTCCTACAGCGAACTGGCGTGTTTTGGGATGTTCGGTCGATGTTGTGTTTGCTTGCGCGCTGCACGTAGCGTAGTTTTTTCAGCACGAACTATAGTTTTATATTCTTCTAGGTATCTGCACTTACATTCTTTGTTCAAAACTGAAAGGGCCAGATATATTAGTTTTAGGAAAAATCTAAGCTTAAATGGTGTTTACATGGAAAGTGGGTTTAACAGCACTTTTGTCCGGATGAATTCAACTCAACAGACTCATGTTGGGAATAATTATAGTTTTCCCAAATTATTTCTGTGGCCTTGTTAATTACTAGCCCTCTTTATCTGTAGGGCAAAAGTGTGCTTCTACAAGACAAACAGAGCAGCGGAAGAGCAGTACTGTGCCGGTGGCTTGCCCGCCGTTGCGAGTCAGTGCTCCCGGAGTACTGGCACCAGCGGCTTATGAAAACTCCTTTCTAACGGGTGCGGACCCGTGCTGCGCATATTCCTTGGGCCAAGGGGGTGCCAATATGCATTTAATCGTTAGGAATTTGATGAATAATAAAAGGATTAAGTGTTACGAAAACCTCTGAACTTTCGTAATAAGGTTATGCGAGGGTGTATGTCTCTTCGTAGTCAGTAGAAAGGGTATTTTGCAATGTAACATTGCTGTCTAGTCTGTGGAACAGCGTGGATTTTATTGCGACTAACCGCCTTTTTCAAGGCGACCCTCATTTCCCCATGCACGCAATTTGGGGAGTGGTTTTCGAGAGAAGTCCGGAGACACTGAAGCTTGACACGAAGCATGCTTACGATACTAAAGCCGATGAACGCCGATCCAAATTGCTCTAAATTCATGGCTGATTACGTTACCTGCCGGTATATTTTTCAAAGTTCATTTATATAACCGGAACCCTTTTTAAGGAAAGACAAGAGATGCCCCAGGACTGCAGCCGCTCCCTGAAGTGTTTGTCCGTCTTATATCATCTGCTCATTATAAGTAAGTAAATATCACCTTCGTGCAAATCTGAGTGGTCTCGTTCTCAACCGGTAAACCATGGGTTCGGATCTCAAGTATTAGTGTTTAAATTCAATATTTACCATGGTCAGTCGGCTAGAGGTTAAATCCCAGATGCCCGCCAGTGGTTTGGGTAAACCTCGAATAACCATTCTTTGTCGGTAATATTTCGACAGTCTGTAGTATGGCGTCTGCTGAAACTGACGGGAGACTGCATCCACATGGACTCCCCACAAAATGTGCTGTTGGGGAACAGCTTAGAATGAAAACTTTTCCGAGTTTTCTTAATAGGGCGGCATCCTGAAGTGATCACTACCGCTGTCCGTTTGGTTTTACGCTGCCTAAGCACTTGATCCTAACTTGTATTGTTCACCCCCAGATCTCTAGACTTAGGTCATATACTTATGCCGTATCTGATCAGATCGGTCTTATTAGCCTATGAAGTGTGTCGGCCTTCACTGACATTCACTCACCCTGCGTTTTCATCTCTGCAAAATTTAGGCGGTCCACACATCAAATATACAACGTCAGTGTCTTCCTTCTCTTCTTCATGTCCTTGTATGGGCTTCTTGGCGTACAGTTCTTTGGCGACGAGCTGAACTATCACTGCGTACTGAAGACAGCTAACGAAAGGCTAGTGGTAACTTTTTACCAAAGTTCATGCTTATGTTTTGTCTAGCGCCTTTTTCGTTGAAGTAAGCAGCAAAAACTGAAGGGCATGATTTCGCCTCTCTATTTCATCTGGGGGAGATCGGACACTAAAAGTTAGGTCTTTATGTTAGCATCAGGATACACTGAGCCGAAATAAACGTATGAACAAAGTAGCTTTGACCCTGATTTAGATGATCAGATGCTTACTTTTATTTTCCCTAGGTGACCTCGATTGATATAGTTCTCTCGACCCCATATGTCTGCTATCTCACTGACGACCCCCTCATGTTGAGACGAGATGCCGGATCATTAGCAACTAGAGAATGCGCAGGAAACTAAGACTACTTTCCAAGTAAACGTGTAAACTTAGTGATGCAAGAAGATTAGAGGATAGGGAGTTTTTCATCCACAGGTTTCCTTCCATTCATCCTAATTGAACAAAACGTTGGAAGCCGACGTGTTGCAAGGGAGGTGCTCAGACCTCTTACATTCCGGTACCACAGCTTGGAAGGCCACTATTCTACAACATAACAACGACTTCAGTGTGAATATGGTGCACCTCGAAAAAGTTATTCGACGTGATCGAGTACTTACTTCGTAATGCCGAACATCTAACACTGACTGTGCGTTTTTACCTACCTATTTTGTTCAGTTCTTTGGTGCAGCATTGTGGGCCAACTTAAATTGTGCGTAGCAAAATTTGTGTAGTTTGTTTAGATAGTTGCGACAGATTGAATACAGAGTAATTCGTCATTAATTGTCTGATTCAGAAAGCTTGCGATACCCCATCTCTGACCTGCATGCTTTTGTGACTAATCGTAATTTCATTTATCGCCTCAGTAAATGTCTTGTTCAAGAGTTTAAAATGAACATACGTCCTTCAAATAAAACTGAGCTTCTGTCGTATTTGCAGTAATCTTTTAAAGTCAGACCTGGCAATTCCGGACTCGTACTGCAATCCGTCGGAGCCAGCTAGTCCAAATGAACAGTGCCCAGAGAACATGAAGTGTATAAGAGTGCCCACATCCGTTCAGGACGAGGGAAGTTATGCCGGATTCGAAACGTTCCGTAAGAGATTTTTGTGTTTTCTTTTAGTAAAATCTATCTTCCCTTTGCCTCGTCGTCTTTTAGACTTATAAATGGCTTAACAAATGAATGTTTTCTGCATACCGCTCCTGGGCGGTAAGTGAGCTGCCAGCGTTCCAACATTTTTGGCCATTTCTACACTTACGTTTCCCTCACAGGTCCACTTGCGATCGCCCCCGTCCGCACAAGTGAGGGAAAATTTTTTAAAATTTGCTTAGCGCACTATCTGCTGTATCGATCAGACCGTCAGTCACGACATCTGGACGCTCACTGGCTTAGCTGCCATTGGTTACCAATTGGCTCGCTCAGGTTACTTTCTACCAATCAGGAGGATGTCGAGCATAGTATTCTACTGCCTATTCCAGTGGCCTAGAGAGTAGAGTCGTTGCCCTAAACCTGTGACCTAACATGAGCTGTCTGGGCTTTGTCAGTATATGATCGCCATATGACCGATCGGCATACCCCAGCGTTGATAGTTATCTGGACAGTCTAGGTTTTTGTGCAATATAAATAATGTTTGACTATCGAGATGTTTTTAAATGAGTGAGAAATGGCCGACGTCGCCATGTTTACCATGTTTACTACCTGACGGGTCCAGTAATTTGCTGATATAGATCGTAAGATATCGCATATGGACGTGTAAACTATCCAAGAGGGGAGTGAATAAAGAAAGCAGTCGCAGTTTCTGATGTCAGCTGGGTGCAATGTAATGTAAAAAGGTCCTTTGGTCGAAGTTACCCCTTTTGCGCATCAGTGGTACATCGTAACCACGCTTACTTTTACTTTTAGATATCAGCATGTTTACTGTATACCAGGCTTCATCGCAGGAGGGCTGGGTGTTCATAATGTACCGTGCAATGGACTGCTTGATCCCTTGGAAAGGTGTGGCATACTTCATCAGCATGATTTTCATGTTGGCCTGGCTCGTAAAGGTGCGCTCTTTTAAAAAATATGGTCTGCATTTTGTTTAATCGGAGAATGTCTGTCTTAGACAAACCTGACCATCAATAGATATCTTTTAAAATAGCCGAAGGGAGGGACAAAAATGTGCGAATAAATTGATACAGTACACTCTCAGGCCTGTTCTGCCTTTATTCAGCCAGTAGTGACCCTGACCACCAGCTAATACCAGAAACACAAAAATGAGCTCATACACGGCGCATGTGGTCCACATACAGGGTCCGGTAGGTTTATCGCAAGCACTTCAACGAGTCGAACTATATCGAATAGGGGGTTGTTTGCTTCGGTAGGCCAGTAGATAGGCCTGCGCTCATCCGTTGTCGATGGGAGTCTTAAGAGATCCCTATTTTTCGGCCTGACACGAAAATTCCTCCCGCCTTCCTTATTTGTCGTTGACATGTGTCCAAATTTTACATAATACAGATGTACACGAGAAGTTCTGTCCACAAGTGATGCAACTCACTGTCTTCATATCCACTATGTTCTTCAAGTTTATTTTTTGATGCTGGCCATTTGAAACTGGAGGTGCGTATTGCGACATCTAAGATGTCTTCTGTTTCCCCATATCCTTAGAACGTTTTCATTGCCGTGCTCACGGAGACATTCGCCGAAATCCGTGTTCAGTTTCAGCAGATGTGGTCGCCGAGAATCGCTGCGGACACCGACTCGTCAAAGGTGATCTATCTAATCTGACGTGCGAATTAGGATTGCAGCATGTATTTCACTTTTACTGCTCACACAAGAGCCTTGAGCCACTATAAGTTTCAATTTCCACATCATGTTTTAAAAACATATCCAGGCAATTTTTATTTAAGGTAGTTCAATGATCCTAACTCAACGAGAGTGTTTTTATCTTCTTAGCTTCGGTCTGATTTTTTTGATTTGTTGCCATCCATCTTCCACCAATTTAGGTCTTTCAATGTGACGGTGGGGCCTGGAAACTCGTCCCCGTGAACGAACGACAGTCTCGTGGCCTGGCTCCCAGATTTGTAGAGGAGGTATGAATGTGTCTAACTTTGCGATCTTTCCTGTGTTTACGTCTGCGCACCTAACACTACAAGTTAGGCCAAATTCTGTCTACTTCCTCCTATCCTGGGGCGCATTTTCAATCGACTTTTGCCGAAGATAAATGAAGGCTTAAGGCCTGCATACAAGCATCGGGACTGGGTGGTAAGCAAAGCAAGCGCATGTCAGTTAGGCACGGTGGCGGCAGAGTGACAGCAACAGGATCCAAAACTTGCCAGTAGAATGGCCAGGTAGAGCTTTGACTTTCAAATGTTTGATGTCTGGTATAAGCCTGCGCAGAAGGATGCTATGAACCATTTTATGCGTCGGCCGGCTTAGATATGCGTCGAGTAAGTAAGTTCGGAATTTTTCACATCACAAAGTGACGTAAATAAACATTATTGTTCAAGTTTTTTTTTCTATCAGCAAATCAGCATATTTTTTTGCATAAAATCTCAAACCTACACGAAACGCCAGAGCAAATGACCCCGACGGTCAAAAGTTGCGAAGAATCTACTATCATTGGTAAATCCAGATGCTATCAAATAACAGCTGGGGCGTTCACAAGTTTCGAAACACGGTCCTACATAATTTCCTTGTCTTTGAATACTACCGGTTGCCGCAAAGAGCAGGTATTTCAATATCGTGCGGCATCGAATATAGCCGTCTCTTACATTCTGTTGACTGGTGTGTTTTGGTTGCGCAAGACGATATTGTCACTGTTGTTCTTCAAACGACCTTTTTGGAAAATTTTCATAAAGCTTGATTCGGCACACCTCGTTCTACCATTGTGTCTTCACTAGGACTTTCTTTGGGAGAAGTCGCTCATCTGCCCTTTATGATGGCCAATACTCAATTAAAGAAATGTTTAAAGAACCGCCCGTATATTATAGGAGTTATGGAGAGGTCGACTGTAATCCCATGAATATACCAAGACAAATACATATTTACATAGTATTGCACCTGTGCTACCGCGTACTTTTCTACTTAAATGAGTATAATCTATCTTTTCCGTGATGCCTACTAAATCATTTGAGAAAAAATTCCGCAAATTAATATGAAGAGCCCATTCGGTCATGAGTCGCGAAGCTGTACCATTCCGAACATTATGTCGGTTGAACTCAGTGAGATGCTCGTTGACGACTTCATTGTCCATAGATGTTTTGGCAGATTTTAAATAATTCATATTGACCCAGGGACTTACATTTTGTCCGTTGATGCAGTAACAACTGGCCGATTGGAGGCCATGTGTACTGAAACGAGTCTATTAAAGCGTAACTAATCGCATCAGATGTGTCTGAGGCTTAATTGTTTACATGAATACGCATGACTCAGAGGGAGCCCTCACTGATCAAGCTGTCTTGACTCATTGTCCGCTGTCAGCACTTTGGCAGATCATATCCCAAATCAGAGGGGCAAAATAAGGTGTTTGACAAAAATCGGTAGGGACCCTTAAATAGCAGGTCGCTTCTGTTGTCTGCTTTGTTTGCTTATTACTAACTCACTTAATGTTTTAGACGCTGTTAAAGTCCACCGGCTTCAACATTGTAATCATGTTGTTGGTTTTGGCAAACGCAATAACTGCCGCAGGCCAACACTTCAACCACCATCGAGTACGCATGGATGACTCCAAAGGCGAAATCTACATGGACGGATTTTATTTCGCTGAGGTGAGCAGCTTCTCAAGATCGTTTTTCTTCATTTATTAGCTAATCTCCCGACAGAAAACGCGAATTTTAGGAAGATTTCTCCCACTGACTATTTCGGGTTAGGGAGCCTGAAAAATGAAAAACTTAATAATGCTTTTATAGCCCATCTCAAGCATATGTCATGCACCAGCCGTAGATCCAGGGTTCTCAACTAACGGTTTTATTTTTTTTGTGAGGTGCAGTGCTTTTACGGGATTCTAAGGGCTTTTTTTGCCGTCATACTTTCCACATTTTTCGCAAACTCTATCACAATAGATCGAATTATATTTTGCGTGACAGGACCATTTGGATGGATGCGTCGATAAATGCAGTTAATGATCAGCTAATTGTAAGTTTCCGGGTTACTTTAGATATCGGATATAACAGAGTGTCATGACAGTTTTGCAGGCTTGCGAGTCAGATCTTAACTTCCCATAGACACAAGCGTTCAGGAGGTGAAACCAGAGAGTAAATGACAAACTTCTGCCCACTACGGTTTAAGTGGTATATAAGATTTCACCTTTTGGGTACACAGTCGCGTTCGCTGTGATCTATGAGAATGTGCTAACCGTAGTAGAGTTCTCAGTAAAAATAAGTGAAATGACAGGCAGTCTCTCCTGCTCTATCTGTGAGTTTACATTTAAAGTTAAAATGAGCAAACCAAGACAGGGTCGGACACCATTATCTCATTTTGCAGCTTCCCGCCACTCTCCGCATACGTCTTCAGTTATTTTAAACCAAACCGGTATCGTTGGATGACGTTCTGCTTTGGGGAAATACAATGATGGAAGTGTCCTTCTTCCTTAAAAATAAAACTAATTCCTGAATTTACCGCCGTTGGATAAAAAAAACTTGTGCAAATTAATTCCGCTCATTTTCTTTGTTTAGTTGCTTGCCGAGAGTGCTTCCGGCAATTCGCATATTTTAGTACTCGTGTCTCATCAGTTAGCTCTCAGCAATTTAGATGTCACTGTAAGTCAACGTTCTCCCTCTACCTTCTGTGCTGAAAGCTTGGATTCACAGTCGTCTTCGACCTTGAGGCCATATTCAAAATTTGGTGCTTGGGCTGGCGAAGTTATTGGTCTCGATCTTTGTTCAAATTTGAACTCATGCTCTGCATTGGGACTTCTTTGCATTGCATTCCGCAACTGTATCGGACGGAATTCACCTACCTTTC